GATTAAGAATGGTATCGTTGGACAACCAATAGTAAAATTTTTGAATCAGGTGTTTACACCATTTATTTCTCAATAAAATTCTTTAATTTTTTTTTATCTTATTGAAAAATTGAATTTTATAATAAGTAAATCAAATTTTTATGTGCCCTTATTCAAAATTAAAAAAATATGTGGGTTTATACCAACAAATTTAATGATTTTTATTATATCTTTTAATATAAGTTAGAAATAATGTATTAGCAAAGGCTTAACAATGTTTTATTATCTCTTCTGTATTAGCCTAAATTTTTCTGACCAAATATGTAAAAAAAACTCCGAAATTATTAAATGGAAAATTTTACATATACTTAAACATATTTCAGTTCGTTTAAAATTAATTACCTTGCGAAACAAAAGAAGATAATTAGTTTATATTATTTCAGAAAGCCTGACAAGCTTTATAGAAGTGGGTTGAACTCGTTGTCGCAACTTGGTCTTGTTGTCAGGGCGACTTAATATAACGAACCTAGTCCGAAGTCATCCGCCATAGTAGTTGTCATGATTCCCAGCATCAGACAGTGGAGTTGGTATATTCTCAAATGTTTTGCCGGCATCGTAGTCGGTACCATCAGTGAGTTTTGCCATTCGCCGCATCAAGCTAAAAACTCGCCAAAAAGACAAGATTTAGTCTCGAACCTCTACTTACATACGAAAAACAAGAACTATCTAGTTTTTACTAGCACACAACAAATTCTCCTCTTTATATTATGATAATTTTTATTTTTTATTTAATTAACTTCATACGGGATATTTACTGAGAATCTAAAGATTTAAACATCAATGTTGCAATCGGTTTATAAATTTGCGAGGTATTCGAACTTATTCGTAGATAGTGAACTATAACGATTCCTGGATAGGCAGTTTTTTCTAGGTTTACTTAAACTTACAATCGGTTTGGGAGTTTTATAAGCGAATAAAATCTGAATGCTATTTTAGCTTGCATTTATTAGTTATTATTTTGTACTCTCCCCCTCTATGAATGTTTTATCAATCAAGTGAGATTTTGTCACTCAGGTTTAAATTATTAGTAAATGCTCCTTATTGAGAATAATAATTAGTCTCTTATTTCGTTTTCGCTTTCCTTAAATAGAAAACATACCTGAGCACTGTGGTCGCAACGCCTACGATTCTTTATGGGCTAAATTGCATGAACAATTCGGTCGGATGGAAGCACGACCCCGTCTCAATAAGCGAATCGTAGGTGGTCGGATAAGCCGATTGGGCGAATGGCCTTGGCTTGTTTCGATGATGTATCACTTGCCTGCTGATCTGGTAATGGCTTATAAGTGGAATCCGGAGAATCGCAACCAAGAAAGCAAACTAGGGACCGAAAGTTTTGGGCTTCAACAAATTCCGCAGGAGGCAGGGGAAGAGGACGACGTAGATTATCTAAATGGAGGAGACCAAAATGAGGTAGAGGGCTATGAAGAGAGCCTGGAGGCTGAGCTACAGAACTTTGTGCCGCCAACACTGACATCACGTTTTGCAAATGGCTCCCAAAGGTTTCATCTTTGTGGAGGCACATTGATACATCCACTATGGGTACTGACAGCAGCCCATTGTTTTGAGTGAGGATTGAGAGTATTTTTGCAAAACAGATAAGCAACGATCTAGTTTCTATTTTTTTATAAAATTTGCACTAAATAGCATTAATTTAATAATAGAAAATAGGGTATAGAAATTATATTGATGTATAAACGTAAAATAATGAAGTAATCTGCTTATTTTCTATCATTATTGTCTATTTATTCATTTATACAAAATTATTGTAAATGCTTTTGGAAATCTTAATGAACAGTATAAGCCTACAAAACTTAAATTTATTTAAGTAAAGTGGGTTAACCTCGTTTTCGCAACATGCCTTGTTGTCAAGGCGACTTAGTCTAATGTACCTTATCCAAAGTCTTATGCCATATTATTCATCATAATCCCCTGCATCAGACAGTGAACTTGGCACATTCTCAAACGTTTCACAGGCATCATCAGTTAGTGTTGCCATTCTCTGCACCAAGCTACAAAACTCGTCAAATACACAAGTGAAGTCAATCCCTCGACAAACGTTCTGCCTAAAACGGTTACACTATCACTCTTCTTTCTGTCCTGGCTTATCTATAAACTCTTTACCCTCTTATCCAACTCCCGCCCTATCACAACTTCTCACTTGCTTACATTCCATTCGTCAAAATATGTGCCCTTTTGGGGCAAATATAGTGTGGCGTCATCACACCTATTATTCACCCTGACCCCCTCTCCTTTGATCGGCTAATCCGACTCGGGCCTCCATTCCGGATCTCCCCCATGGTCCCGTAGATCCGTTCCTTATCTTTCTGGTTGACCGATTTCACTTGGTTCCAGTCCCAGTGTGCGTGTCACTTCAGGCGCTATTTCTCAAGGCCCTAGAAACACGTACATTGTCGCCTCACCAATTGATCTCGTGTCCAGTCAGTGCGATGTGTTTCGCCAATTCTGATGTTTCGGTATCCATTTTCCTGCGAAGCCTTTGATGATCCTCGATTCGTATCACGTTGTCAGTGAGTAATGTATATTTGAATAAACCTGTACAACTTTGGGGGCTTGGCAGTATGGAAGCTAGGCAGACGGATAAGCAAACCATCACAGAAATTCGGCGTTATGGCCAAAATGTAATAGAAATGCACTTGAGATACCGCATGAAACTAGAGATATACGTCCACAGTTTGCTCAGGTTACACGGGTTTAATTAAGGAGACGACCCGTGATGACAATGCCTGATGCCTGCAAGCATGGGAATCACAGTCTAGGCGCTCTGCTCGGTGAGGAGACAGTGTACGCGTTTCTAGGGCCTTGATAAACGCACACTGGGACTGCAACCGAGGTAAATCGGTCAACCAGAAAGATAAGGAATAGATCTGAGACCATGAGAGAGACCCGGATTGGAAGCCCGAGTCGGATCAGCCAATCAAAGGAGAGGGGGTCAGGGTGAATAATAGGTGTGATGACGCCACATTAGATTTGCCACAAAATGGCACATATTTTGACGTGTGCGATGTAAACAAGTGAGAAGTTGTGATTGGGCGGGAGTTGGATAAGAGGGTAAAGAGTTGATAGATT